TGCACGAAGTGTTCCCGTGCGAATATTATGGGCGTGATGGGCTCGTTCTCGGTCATGACACACTCATTGACTATGGATATACCTTATACTTATCATACTTATAATCTCCATATTCATTAAGATGACATGCATGCATTATATATAATCAGATTAATTATTTTATTAAAAATTATAATGTAAAAGTAAAACGATTTAAAGAAAGAGGGGATTTGTGTCAAATTTTACAATTTTTATTGATTTCTTTAGTCATTTATATTATTATGAAAAGGGTAAAAAACTCAAGTATTACGAAAAAATTAAAAATATAGATTATTCTCCACATCTTTGTAATTAAAATATATGAATACACAATCTCATGTTGTTTTGTAAAAAAATCTTTTATTGTGTTCATTTAATAATCATTTAATAATTTTATTATTAATCATATAGATGATATCGAACGTGTACACTTTCTATTTTTGTTTAAAAAAAAATATAGAATTCATAAAATGAAAACATGATTGTAGTTTATGTGGTTTCTTTTTTTATAATACTCGTATTGATATTTTGTATAGGAATAGTACGCTAAATAACTTACCTTTCCAATTCAGTTCCCTTTAATTCTTCTATGTATACAATTATTCTTACAAACATTTATCTCAAGTAATACAAAAAAATTATTTTAAGACAATTAATTTGCTAATGATTGTAATTATATCGTAAAATTAATATAAATCTAAAAATATCAAATATAATTGTCCATTACTCTAAAATTAAGATTGACGGGCGGAATATCTCTCACGGAAAAACATAAGCAGAGTAAGAAATCTGTTTTTATTGCAACAATATCATTAACAATTACAAATTGATGTCTTCAGATCGCGATTTCGCACGTAGATCCCTAGTCTTAAAACAGATTCGGTCGATCCCGAAATAAATGTCGCCGAAAGCGACATACATAACGAGGATGCAGAAGGTTGTTAAATGGTACCAACGAGGGGGAAGTTGTGGTACGCCATTAACACCAATTGTGGTTTCATCAATTTTCATCCGGGCGGCTTTTGGACCGGTACCGAACAGCAAAGGTGTCAAGCGTGACACTCGGCAAAGCGACGATTTTCGGTCAGCCACGTTTACCAGCTGCGCTCCATGATGTATCAAGGACAGTCACGACTATTTCGTGAGCGGACGCGTGTTACAGTCAATAATTACTGCAGCTTTGTGTGGTCCCGAACATAGCTTATACAGTGCCAAGACTGGCACTGTATAAGCTTCGACTAAATTGCGTATTATTAAAGCACACATATAGCACGTGTATACATTTACGCTAATATAGATATACGCTGTATACCTATAGTATAAAATCAGTAATTTGTTAGCAGTAACTTATACCAGTCACTCAATACCGATATCAATTAATTAAAATGTTTATTTTAATTGATCAATATTAATTTATTAACGATAACCAAGTACTTGCGAAACTATATTGTAGATTGTTGATATACATTATGAGAATGTATGACATTCAGGGAAAGAATGATTGCACTGAATTTTTAGATACCAAAGTATCTAAAAGTTTAAACGATAGATCTGAAAATAATTTGATTGAGTTGAGTATCAAAATATTTATATAGAATCATTCAAATAATGCTGGAAAAAATTTTAATATCCTATGTTTGAACGTTCTATATATTATTTTGATTTTAGTTCAACAAAATATATTTTCAGATTCTGTGTCTAATTTTTAGATATTTCATTAAATCATTCTACTACCCATATTACAATCGTAAAAATAATTGTTACGGTGGCGCTATGAAAGCATATTTATAAAATTATCACGCACGATTCAAAGTGTCAATTAGTAATTCCATGAATAATAATTGACTTAAATATTAATTAACGCGTACGTCAAAGAATTTTCAAGTTACTGAGTCTCGGTTGCATCTCAATATTTCGCCAGTTAGTTCCTAACGATAAACAACAAACTACTTCGTGCAACGGTCCTCCATATCTTTCGCACGTTACCGCGTTACTCCTCGGCGTCAAAGACGACGGTAATTGCGCCTCCTGCGCAATATACGTTGCTTACGAATCTCTTAATTAATTCGTGCCACGACCTGCTCGGGAATTACTTTCACATCGCCAAACGCGCGCATCCTTATCGTTCTCTCGCTCCCGTGACTCCTCTGGAAACTCGTCATCTTCTTCTCTCCCCTCGTACTTGGCATCCTTGCAACGTTCTTGCTTCCGTCGAACGACTTCGTTTAGCGAAACTTGCTGCTAAAGCAAGCTTATCTAATAGTCACGGCCTCCGCACATAAATCAGTTAATATCGAACATCTAATAACTAATTAGCAACTCCGCGGCGTTTGTATATCTTTACATGACAATCAAATAGCAAGAGTATTACCGATAATAAAAGACCGATTTTATATGCCTTATATAAAAGATTTACTGAAAATATACGTAAAATCATTCTTTTTTATTAAATACCTTGTTTCAAAAATGAAAATAATATATTTCTGTAAAAGTAAATCGTACGACGTCGACATAGCAGAGGCAATTCGATATTCAATAAATGCGTTCGAAGAGACTCTATTAGCGCTATTTGTGTCATTCTATCCTCATTGTTTATTGGACGTAAAACAAGGATAGAATGACACAAATAGCGCTTATTGTTCCCCCAAACACATCCTATGTGTTTACATATTAGTGTAGGTAAAAGCGTGTGCCTGAAATAGTATCGTATACGATTTAACTAAACATCGCACATCTCTGCAAAAACGTTACGTTTATTTCTGTTATTTTCAAACAATGCCCGCAGCAAATCATGTCGAGCAAAATTGCAATGGTTTATCATTAATCTGCAATAAGGCAGTCGCAAATTTATTTTAAAAAGTTACAAAAATAGTCACGTGTCATCGTAGTATCATAATAAAAGGTTTTGTGTGAAATATTTTTAATATGTGAAATATTTATAAATGTTAAATTTGTCGCATTCTTGTGTTTATTAGATGTTCTTCTTCCAAAAATGATGTGGAAAGTAATATATTTCTAATATTTCTTAAAAATAAACTATATGACATAACTGGCATGGGCAATTCATTTATTCAATTTGTGTACTGGTAGTGAAAGCGTGTGTCTGAAATAGTATCATATATGCGATTTAACCAAATGTCACGTCTCTGCAAAAATGTTACGTTTATTTCTGTTATTTTTTAACAGTATCCGCAAATCAAACAGTGTCGAGCAAAATTGAAGTAATTTATCAGCGTAGTCTACAATGCAGTCGTAAACTCATTTCGAAATCACACAAACGGTCATAACATCGACTATTGACACTTCTGATTGGCTATCGCGACCGCTCTTGCAACTTTAAAATAATCGTGAACAAAAGATAGTACCAATTATATATCCTGCACAAGCCATAATTGATTGTGTGAATTATGACTTTAAAATAAATTTATAATCACAATTATAGAGCGGTTAATATCACATATTAAGCATGTGAGATATTAACCTTTTATAAGGAAAATAAAGTATCATATTAGAACAATAATACCTCTCTCAAAAGTAATGTGTCTTTAAAATATTAATATAAATTTTACATTTTCTTGCATTTCGTATCCCTCAAAATTGATTATATTTACATACAGCCAAATAATAGATCTATGATAGCATGGGACATTTCAGCAATATTGCAGCTGTTGCATTACTGGGATGTTTCATTTTCTAGTCATGATCTCTAATATCACAAAGCATGTATAAATATCTAATTAATTCGTACGAATTTCGCGACTACATTTTTGCACGCTGCATTCAAAGAAATAATAAATTGTACCAATAAAAATTTGTAATTAAAAAGTGGAGATGTTAACGAAAAGCGCGTAGACACGCGTCACGTTTGGACAATAAAAATTTCGCTCTTTCCCACGATGGAACGCTAATGACCTCGAACATTCTTGCACGGTGCAACTCTCTTTCGAGACGCCGTGCTAATTTTATCCCGTTAGACTTGGTGAAGCAAGCGACACGTGGCAATATAAGTGTCTCTTGAAACTAATGAAGTATAATATACGTAATGTGCTCCATCCATACAGCGTTCTATCATAATGTTACTTTCGCGCTAGCTTTACTTCCTATACATCGAACATCGTGATGTCTTATATCAACATATACTTTCTGAAGGAACGCTCGATGAATCTTTTGATTGTGAAGCGATATCAACAATATCAATTATTATATATATTATGAAAAATATTGCACAAACGGCAAATATGAGAGTTTCCTCCTTCAAATACTTTCATGAGTACTTTCTTTTAATTTGCCTTGAATCAGGTAAAGTATCACATAAATGATTCCAATCAAATATGTATCTTCAAGTATATAAATCAGATCTGTTCTTCTCGCGAATTAATGCTATTATATCTCTCTGCATCGTCTCTCGTTGAACGAGACAAAAAGAAAACAAAAAGAATAGCTGCTAGATTTTTGCCCAGTGAGCCTGACTGTTCTAATGAGTATTGTTTTTTGCTTTCTACCTGTTATCCTCAACGAAATAGAGAAATAAGAACGTTTCAGGCCTGAGCATAGACCTTTACATAAGCTCAGATCTACAATAAGTATAGCAAGTCTTAAACCGTAAGAAATTAACCAATTACAGTCTAATGTGAGGAGAATAATCGACTATAATTTGTCAATTTCTTACGAAGCTACATCTATTGTATATCTGAGCTGACGCAACCCTGGTTCTATATACTCACAAAACGATTACAAGCTTGTTGCGGCAATCAATCTAAAGCGTCAACTTTAAGATAAGTTTAAAACAAAATGAACTTTCTACAACAAACCGTTAGTGGCGTTAATTATATCATAATGGCAAGTCAGAATTATAAGTCATAAATCTTAGAAAATTTACATCCAGCATAAATCATATTAAATCATTATATCACAATATTTCAGTCAATCACAAGGATGGTAGTTCTCAAAGAAAATAACAATACTCTATATGATTGGTCAGTTATAACATAATCTAAGTTTTAAATCATAAGAAATGGAATTTGGCCATCTTCACGCAGTCACTGACTTATTATTGCTTTATGACATACAACTGATTTGCTTACAACTCGCTCCTGCTCCTTCTAACCTATTCCTAATGGCTTATTGTAGAAAGCATTAGAGCTCAATTAATTCTCCATTTCATTTCATGTAAATGAAAGACTCTGATTGATTGATAATTCTCTTATGCTTTATACATCTGTGTTCTAGCCTTTTTTAGCCTGTAAGTTAAGTTTTGAACAGACCTGCTATACACAGTAATCAATTGGTTCTGTAACTAGCATGACTTGCGCGAATATTTAACTTTTGTCGACCTCAAGAAAAATTTGGTACATTCTTCAATTTGGTACATTCTTCTCTCAGTTGCTCACGGATCGATTCCCGCTGCCAATAGAATCTTGCCTAATGACATTTATTTTCATCGGTAGTATGATTCCCTGGGCGATGCCATAGTGTTGATACGCATCTTTTCCGTAAGCCACGTTTAGTTCTTCGGCCCGTTGATTGGGTTTACTCATGTTCAATGACGAGCTCGCCGGCGAAGCAGTCGAGGGTACGCCCGCGATACCTTGCAGCGCGTTGAAACTCTGCATTGCCAAGTGAGAAGAGGCCGACGTTGTGATTTGCGTCATGATTGGAGGCGAGCCTTCGATTCGGCCAGGGAGAGCGCTATTAGGAGGCTGGGGCTCGGCTAGAGGTGCATTGCTTATTATCGACGCCGTAGGTGCTTTATCAGTTCGCGCAACCGGTGGAGCGATTGATCTTGCCGTTCGCGAAGTTGATAATATAGCAACGGAAGGATTATCCGCTCGAGTTGTCATCGGATGTGAAGAGACGGATGTCTTTGTTGATGCACGTGCTGATAACGAGTCCTCCGTCATTTCCGATGTCCGTAAAACTGTTACGGATTGCGTCTTTCTCGCCAAATCGATCTGAGCCTCAGCCGAACGCGTCTCTGAAAACGGCGCTGTATGAGCGCGATTTTTTCTGACCGGGATTTGCGGGCTCATCGGTACAACTCTACCAGCACTATCCGGGATACCTGTAGTTTTAGGCGGCGATTGTTTGATAGGGACAGCAGCGATTAACTGCGCGGAAAGCGGCGATTCATCTCGAGAGTTGTTAGCATTGATCCTCGCCTGATCTTTGATGTTTCGAGTGCCGTTGGCACTAGGCACGGACGATTGAAGATTGCTCGCGGAGAAATTATTCGTTGTCGGCGATGCGAGGACATTCACCGAGGTTGCGGAAAGATCGTGAGTCTGATCACCGCCATTCCTTACGGCGGCGAGATTTGGATCACCATTGGGGAAACTGGCGAAGCGCGCGATCGTTTCTCGCTCTTCAGCTACTTGAGGAGCGAAAGGTATTTTCCTTTCGATGGGCTTTACAGGCACTCTGTTTTTCGACGCAATGCGATTCTTTGCGACCCTACTGTCTCTTCTCTTTCTAGAATTGTTCGTCGTGGCACTTGGACGTCTTTCCGGAAAATGCCTGCCTCTCATGGAGATCGATTCTGTCTCCTCGCTTCCGTTCCCATCATTATCCTTGTCTTCATCTTCACAGAACTCCGAGTCCTCGTAAACATCAGACTCGTCCTCCTCGTTTTCCTCGACGATCGCGCTAGCTTGTATCCATTCCCTGATACGATCCTTCTTCTTCGAATGATCCACCGTTGTCTCGATCCCGTACGTCGTAAGTGTGTGGAGAAGTTGATTCTTCTCCTCTAAGGAACTGTGAAAGCTGTACATAGACGGACATAGCTCGTCCCTCTCATCGGCGCCGCCTGTAGATATAAAAAAAAATGTCGCTAAGATATCGTGACATATCGCCGATATTATCGCGATGCAATGTCAACTGACCATTCAACGCTTTTTCGACCCCGAGTTTCGCTAGCCATCTGTCTTCTAAATATTTATTTACTTCCAACACGCTGACTGGTCGCTTGTCAATCTTCGGATCCAATAGCCTCTTGAACATTCTTTATAAAATGCCAAAATATTTATTTAGTTACGCGCTTTATCACTGTTATGGATATCCAGAGGAGGAAAAGGATTTGAAGGATTCAACTCTCCCCGAAATTTTTCTTTTATATTTTATCTCATTATATTTTGTTTATTTTTTCAGGAAATAAAATAAAAATTATAATTTATAAAATCTTTTTTTCATTTTTTTCCATTCAAAATCAGGATCGAAACAGAGATATTCTAAATTCTCAGGTCTAAAATATCAAGAAAATTTGTTAACACAAACAATTGCTATTTATGTGATAATAAAAAATTGATAAACCATCCTCCTTCTGAAAAAATCCTCTATACGTCCATCACTATAATATAAAGCTGTATGTGTTATATAAAGATATATGTGTGTCACAACTTAAAACGTTATAAAAAATGTAAAAATTTTATGAGTTGTTTTATATTACGTTTGAATTTTTATGTAAAATTTAAACACAATTCTCTTATTGATTTCAAAGTTACTTAAAATTTTTATTATAAAATATAAATTTCTAGTCGCCGTTTTATTTATCACGAACAACACTCTTAACAATTTTATAACAATCAAAAAATAGCGCTTGAAAAGTGAATGAATAATAAACTATATCGTATGTTCAAGATGCACATTGACGTAACATTACTGCATGGCGCTTAATTTCGCGTTCTCAGATTCTCAAATGAAAACTCACCTCTGCGCCCGTGAGCTGATCAGCTGAAATAATTTCGGTTTCTTGGCGATGTTAAGCGTCGCGTTGTGCCAGTTTTGATATCTGGTGTAGCGCGGATCGTCCATCGCTGCTTTCTGCCATGGCAGGCATCCGGTCAGGCAAACAAATAGGACAATGCCGAATTGCCAGACATCGTGCGACGTACGAGCTCTGAAAGTCATCCGTCCGTCATCGTTAGAACATATATCCTCAGCGACAATGTCCGGACTACATTTCAACACTGGAAAAAAATGTTCTGATTAAAGCAAAAGAACTTAACAAGAATGACATTTTGGTGAGAGCAAATAGAGAAAGTTATGATAATCAGAAATACTGTTCGATCTTTCCAAAATGTCATTCTGTTAGGTCCTTTTGTTGATTTAATCAGAACATTTTTCTCGGCGAAATATCATTCATATACGTCACAATATATCAATAGCGTTTTTATATTTAACCAAAATTTTGGATATGGAATATTAAAAAATTAAAATTTCGAAACTTTTCAGAAAAGATCAGAAGAAAGTAGCATAAAATTGAGTGCTCACTTTCTCTCTCATGATAAATAAAGTTATGAATAACAACATCAATGATAATAATAGTTTTGTTATGTGTGTATGAACGCATTGCAACAATGATTTGAAAAAGCAGTATAATAGGTAGTAGTATGTAATACGTGACAAACTATCAAGTGCACACAACAGGCGTGGCTGCAGTTGATTTAATATCTAGCTTGAATAGTAAGTACATGTAGATGCATAATAGTACAATTGTCGAATGTAAATGTTTATCTTATGTAGAGAAAATGCAAATTATTACTATTTAATAAGAAATGCTCTTGATATATTCATATTCAAATACACAATACAGTACATCGTAATATTATTCTTGGAAATAAAATCTATTCATAACACGATGCGATCCCTAAAGAGTTACACTTTTCATTCAATTCAAAAAAATCGAGATCAAGATGGACCTGATTTTTATCCTACTTTCCCCTTTTCTTTCCAGGCCTTCAATTTTATCCTACTTTCTCTTAATCTTCTTTCTTTCTTCCAATTTTCTGCGTGCATAAATATCACGTGACAACAAAAATGAGTAATACATATAAGATCAATTACAGTATATGTATATAATTACTTGTACGTCTCATCAGTGTCGATCTGCAATACTTCAGGCGGCGAATACGGCAACCATTCGTTATGCCTTCGTACGACGGTGTTAACCCGTCTAGTCTCGCCGAAATCGCACAGCTTGATACGCGAAAAATCACTACGAAATACGAGTATATTATCGAGTTTGATATCGCGATGCACTAGTTCACGGCTGTGTATATGATGCACCGCGGCGGCGAGCTGCCTGGCCACCCTCTTTGCGTGCAGCTCGCCCAACCCTGTCTCCGTCACGTTCGACGTGAGATCGCCTGAAAATCGATGACATGATAACTGAAATGTATTTTTGTGCAACGACAACGCGAATGTCATGTTCTTTGGAATGACAATCGTTTTATAAATGATATTGCACCTTGGAAAATATTTAGAGCTATTGTTTAGTCTTTTCATTGCGCGATAAAAGAAGTACGTAAAATTGCATCAACAATAAGTGCAAAATTGATACGATTTTATATGTAATTTATATACGTAAGAATAGGACTATATAAAGTTGATTAGATATTGATAAGAGATCGGAATAGATATGAGAACAGTAGCCGTGAGATAACTAATTATAGATGCTAAGTAACACATGGCAGGAAATATATCTCAAAGTCTTGTTTAAATCCCGATTGGTTCCATTTATCTTCTGCCCTAAATGTATATTTATCCGATTTTATATATAATTGTTATACTTATTCTTTTAATTAATGTATTTATAAATAAATTGTGAATTAGAGTACTTTTTAGCAATATAGATAATATTACAGATTTAATGGAATCAAAAAATATTATTTCTTCAAAAATAGATTTAATTGATTTTTTTTTAATCTACGATATATTTCTTTTGCAATATAATTAAATAAATTTCCTGTATTGCACGATCATAAATAATTTTGATTAAATGAAACAAAAATGTTATAACTTATTTGAATTAAACTCTGCGCCAATTTATACAGATAAGAAAATAGATTGCATAGCGGACTCAGAATTCGAAACTAAAAACTTAATGAACGGCGTCTGATTTGTAAGATACACAAAAAGTCGTCGCGCACGTGCAAGCGAGCGTCGTAAAAAAAAAATCTCACCGAGCGGGGCGTATTCTTGACTGAAAACGTAGAAGCCGGCCGTCTCGAACGCCACGTCATAGGTGGTTATAATGTTTCTATGTGCCGACAGATGTAACCCATAATGAAATTCCCGAAAGAAGTCCGAGATGCCGGTATATGCCTTCGGCAGGGCCTTCAGCACCATCTCGGTCTGTGTACTGCGATGCTCGGTCAGCAGGATTTTGCCGAACCATCCCTCGCCGACGATCTGCAGGATGTCGAACTCGTCGATCAGATTCACCTGTCCCAGAAAATAGTTAGCTCTCGACGCGCTGCCGCACATGACGTGGTCGTGATCGATCGAGAGTCACGTCGCTGCTTTTCGAGCTGCGAATGACGGATGAAGAGAAACCCAAACGTTCGCCAGTCGGATCGTAATGACGCTCAAACCCGAGAGACCTCGAACCTCGGGACAAAGCATGCAGCATACACGACGTCACGAGGGAAATGCAATCCCGATGGGAAACGCCAGGGAACGCGCGAGCACAACGATGCGTTATCCGCTGCACGCTGAATACGACGCGACGCCCGTACGGCCGACGCCGATCTCTACGCAACATCTATTTTTACTCCAACGCACGCTTCGAACGCACGTTTTCATCCCGATGCGAACCCGACATACAAGACGATTTCCCCTTAATACCGTTTCGTTGAACCATATATCTCTATTTCGATTAAACAGAATCTATCCAGACTATAGAGAATCGAATAAAAGCTTCGAGTTTTTACTTGAGAAATTGAAATTATTTTTTATTTTGATACGCTATATAATAGAACATTTTTTATGTTTGTACGCATTCTTTTTTGTAATTTAGATAATGTAACCCTAATTAGAACAAAAGTTCATACGAACTTCAAAAACTGTAACTTTATAGAAAATGAACGAAAATTAAATTTAAGTTAATAAAGAGTTTTAATACCCATAGCGAAAAATCACATTCACATCACTATATTCACGGAAAATTGAAAATTCAAAATAAACTCACAATAATTATGGATAATTTGCGATATTACTATGAAATTATTAAAAAGGTCGCAGTAATATTATTATTGTCTGTACATGTTATAATGTAAGTAATGTCACAATGAGGTGTAATTTTTATCACATTGCAGATTCATATGACGTCATTCAATGACGTCACAGCGATATCATACCTGTGAGAAAGCGGACATCTGCACGTCACCATGACTTTATTATGATAGTATTGTGACATTACTTATAACTTTTGCTATAGGAAATAGCTTAAAATCTCTACTTTCAAAACTGTGTCTTTTAAATTTCTGTGAATTTGATAATTTTAAAATTTTCCAGTGAAATGAATCTCAAATTCTATTTAATTTCTGTGTCATCAAGAATGTAATTAAAGCTATATGATTCAATATTAGAGATACAAAGTCACTAAGTGATCCAACAATGACGAGTCACGGTCGCAAATGTCGTCTTCGTCGGATTCTCTGTTAGAGAAACATTGGTGCAATGCCAGGCAAAAGAATGGTCGTTAGTTGAACGAACATAATGAAATGCTGCTCGTTCGCGAATCCTATTTCTGGATCTCAATGTCTCGAAACTGGAAAAGCTCTGCGTGTGACTACCGCAGCCATTGTTTAGGCTTTATTCTCGAGGAAAGCGCAAGACACTTTAAAGAAATGCCTTAGCTGACAAAGGAAAATCCAATTGTGACCGGTTTTCGTGAAAAAAAACAGAAGAAAAAACACGGAAAGAAAGGTATTACCTTCTCGAGCTCGAACTCTCGTATTCTGTGAATGGATCCTCCGATCGCCTTCTTCATTCCACTCATCTCGATAATTTACAGTTATAATGTTTTCACCGAGAATAGATGTTCTGGTTCGACGCACGGACTCAATTGCGACGACTAGACGTTACATATTCCCGTATCGCTCATAAATCTCACAGTATCGTCGGTCATCGTCCCGAAAAAGTTCCGCTCTTCAAAATGTATCCAATCCTGTAAAACGTTTGATTGATGTATGAGACTGACATCGTGATGAAAGGAGTATAAACATAAATAGAAATAATTATGTTACGGCGAATGTTCGTGTTATACGAATTACATGCATGCGTCGGTTAATTCATGTGCACGATAACAACATGAAAAGGATTCCAACGTTATGGTAGTAATATACATGGTAAGAAGTAGGACGCGATGGAAATCAGACGAATATACTTCGCCGTAAAATGAGAGTCTAACGACGCAACATTTTTGACGGGAGACGTTAACAGCATGAAATCGTTATTCTGCAAGTGTGTGTTGTCGATACAGCCGGATGCCGGCTAGTATTTTTGTGCCGTGTACAATTATTGCGCAAGGCGAATGTGGCTGCAAATTTCACAAGGAATGAACACGATATATATATATATATATATATATACACATGATTTGGCAGATTGCACCCATCGACAATAGATACAAGATGAACGTTTCCGAAACATTTCTAGCAAATGGAAAGCGACACATGCGATCCTTTTGACGTAATAAAGACGTTACATCATTCGTGAATAATAAATCGATATTCTGGATTTCCCTCTTGTCATTTTTCATTTGCTCAATAAAAATAAGCGCGTGTCTTTCTTTTCTCATCAAGATGGATATACGTATCATATTATCCAAATAGAACAATAAACGTCAAAACGATGTTAAAATAAATCATAGATTTAAAAGTAACTTCTCGTAATCATTTTAAAGCTATTTTGACGTCATTTTGGTATCATGGTGACGTCAAAATGACTCCAAAATTATCACTAACAGCATAAACTTTTTAATCATTTGCGATTTATTTTGCTTGGAGAGAAAAATGTAAATTTTAAATGATTGTTTGAATAGCACCAATATAATATTTACGGAAAATATAATATTTATGGAATATTTAAATAAAAAGGTATAATAATTAAATTAATAATTCTTGTATCAAATAAACATATTTGCATTTAGTAAATATTTAACACTAGCACTATTCAAATATTTATTAAAATTTCGTATATATTTTTCTCTCAGAGTATGTACAAGAATTAGGCAATGTTGTAAAATTTAAAATGTCAGACATTTATGATTACTTGATTTTGAAAAGGCAGGATTTAATTAAATCCATTTTATGCCAATTCCTATTATGTAGATTAACTTTAATCTTATTGCCGTTTAACTTACTTTTTATCTTATTACAGTTTAACTTACTTCTTATCTTTTTCCAGTTCAAAAAATTAGAAAAGGCTAAAGTGTAAGTTAAATCAAGATAAATGTAAATCTCTACATTGATAAAAATGAACATTATTCAATTATTAATTCGACAAACGAAATTCTTAATTGTTGCCAGACTATCGTATAAAGGTCTCTCTCCGTTCTCTCTTTCTTAAAAATGCTTCCATATGATATAATCGAGAAAACATGCGGCAAGCAGCCAATAAATGCATTTTATTCAAATCGTATTCATATCGGTGAACGGTTGATGAAACTTGTGAATCGGTCTCCCGTTGTTATTTATGTAAGCACCGTTCACGATTCACGGAAACACGAACACTCACAGCATGGAGTTGTCCATGCAAATTTACAGATCGCGTGCACCACCCCGCTTCAGTAATCCGTCCGCATGCCACACTGGGATTCGAGGAAGCATTTGGAGCAGTGGAGACACGAAAGAGCACAATTAATACCACTGAGAAAGCGCGTGTCTTCGTCTCGGGAGGACACATCTGCTGATGAAATCCGCAAAAAATCGTCGATACTCGCGTCTGGAAAATCTACGTTGAGAGATTAAGTCGGTATCTTTTTCTCCCTCTCGCAAATCGCGCAAATCGAGCGGCCACGCACCTCGAATGATCTCACAACTGGTCTACCGTGTTCGGTGCACTGTTTGCCTGTCTGCAGTATTTATAAAACGCTAACCGGAAAGCGCGGTTGGCGAGCTGATCTTGGCGTCTTGCCGGCTTGCCCGCGCATCCATCACCTCTTCCTAAGGGCGCGCACCATGTTGCGATTATTGTGAATCTAACTCCATGCCATCAGGATTTGAGCTCGCACCAACGAATTTTAAGTAATCAATTATATATTTCATTCCAAGTTTTTAACTCTGAATAAAAATTTAAAATCATATTTTAAATAGATAAGAGCTTATTTATCATCGAAATTAATCCTAATTAATTTGTTGACATTGTCTTATGTATATGTCATTTTTTCAAGTTATACGGATGCAAGACATTTACATTAAATAATAATAAATATTAAACTGATATATTTATGCAGTAATAAATATTAAAATAGTAATTTTTTGTGATGAGCAATTTAAAAAAGCATAAACTGTGATTTATGTTTTATTTATGCGCAAAAGTAACTGCTTTGTGTAAGGTCGAAGAATGAAATAAAAATGGAAATTATTTCTCATGATGTCATTCAAGCAGTTTTTTGTATTATTGTGAAATGTGTAACGTGTGATAACAGTGAGATTAGTTATTGCTATATAATTCTAATAAAAAAAATGTTTACGTTTTATACTTAATATCAACACTTTCGATAGTATTATTAATAAGTGATTATTATATATGTATACGCAAGTATGACTAAGTATGTATTGATAAACAGTATCATCAAGTATTTTCAACGCTTTATCGATAATTCTAGCGCACAAAGGTTAATTTTTACTGGTTTTCCTATGAAGAATGCGAGAATGTAAATAAATTCTCCATGATATTTCATGTGTACGAAAAATTACCATATCGTTTACGCCACAGTTTTTGTATATCATCGGTCTATTTATTTTACATTGCATATGTACACATTTAATATAAATTTACAAGCGTGCAATAAAATTAAATATTCATCACGCATCGCCCAAAATGTATGACGTTGTATAACTCCAAAATCAACATGTCTGGATTTGTGATATTATCAAATCGGTAAATCTGATTTCGTCGAATTCACATTAATTCCTATATATATCATTGTAAAAATAATTCTTGGATATTTTTTAACAGACAATTTGATGAATGTTAATCGTTTTTAAAAATCTCATGAGATCATCATATAAAAATCATCTTTATTTGTAAAATCAATTATTCCGATATTTTAATTTTATTTAGGTACGAGATGTATACATGAAAAATTTAGACGAGTAAACATTTCAAGGAACATCTTTTCGAAGAAACATCATTTTATCGTCGCATATTTAGATTACATCAAATGCATTTTAATGACTGCACTATATTCAACACCATCTTACGACATCATGCGGAGATACACAGAACGTCATCAAAAGGGATTAACCGACGGAGAACGTTACCACAGTTTTTCATCCATTTCCATCTAAAATTATAACATGACATTTTCTACATTTCCTTTCTTTTCTTGTTATGTTCTTAAAATATTTACACATTTCAATAATGACAAATATATTGAAAAACGCAACTAATCAACTACATCACAATAAATCTGAATTCTCAATAAAAATTCTAATATAACATACTTATACATTTAATTACATATATAACAACGTTTGTTTGATCATTTATAAGACAATACGAAAATTCATAACATCAGCAAAAAATTTATCTTGAAAAAACCATTGTGCAGTAACGCCCTCTCGAATACTGCAACTACAGCAAAAATCCGATAGTATTACTTGATGGTATTATTAATAAAATATTTATTTTTTTTTTTAAATTTTTTATATATATTATTATTTTAATTACTATTTTTATTATCGAAAAAAGAATAAAATTCTCGAAGATCATGAATAATTTAAAGACAATTGTTCTCTTGACGCGTATTTCGACAAAAATTTAAATATTTAATGCAAAGTTGAATATGAGATGGGAAGGAAAAAAAATTAAGAGAAGATTTCATATATTTGTATCTTAATTGCGCTTTCTTATTTACATTTCTACATCAAGATATATATATTCGCATTCCAGATAAATAAGAGAGTAAAAGAATTTAGTCGTATTATGTCATAAATTATGCATTTTTTTTCTGAAAAGTTTTGAAAAGAATTCATTTTTGCAATTAAAAATGAACTCAAAATTGATAACATATTGCAATTAATTATTTTTTAATTCTTTTTAAATTCTCTGTGCAATCAGAGATATACAATTTTTTTGGAGGAGAGGGATCATGACACAAAAAACTTAAGCAGTAAAACGTAAATAATAAGCGAATTGGTAAATCACAGTAGAGATCGTAAAGTTATAATTAGTAGCAAATCCAACATATTTTGATTTCTTTACAGCTGCTTATACTTTCATCTTACTGCTTAAATTTTTTGTGTGCTAATAATCATACCTAGGCTGTATTTCATTGTAAATATCGGAAAACTACAGTATACTTAACGTAAACTGTAGATTAATTTTCAATATTCACAGTGAATATAACGGAATGCAGTCTTGATAGCAGTATTCATAATCCGATTCTTATTTGAAGACCGTCTTAAATAATATCTTCAGATGCTAATACAACCTTCTGGTTGACTCCATGACATTTTAAGGCAATCTCAAATATAAGAATTAACTATGGGTGCTTTCCATTTGATAACACAAGTCAACACAAGTCGACACAAGCATCGTTCTATTCTATCTTGACATTCAGAGAGTAATAAAGAGAATAATAAAGATAGAACGTGTGTCGACTTGTATCAATTTGTGTTATCAAATGGAAAGCACTCTATGAATATCGATTTTAATCAAGGAGATTTCGATTGAACACTCGGCCAAAAGCTTCGTAGTTCGCGCCATCGTGATTCACGATAGTGTCCGAGTCCGCAACAAGATGGCAGTCGTGGCGGACGACCGGCTGGCGCTGGGAGCGCGCGTCCAAAGTCAGGAGTATCGTGTCGTCGACTCAGTCGAGAGTACAAATACGTTACTACAGAGAGACGTTCCACCACGTTCCATAACTTTCTCATGTGTCACCGCGTCGCGGGTGTGTGTACGCCCGTCGTCATCTCATAGTGTCGTGTTTTAACGCCGTCATCCGAGAGGGAGGAAAATAAAAGAAAGCTGAGATCCAGTACCAGTACATCGTCGTAACGTCGATCGCGGGGAATTCCGCGATCCCGGATCTTGCGCGCGATCGCGAGAGTGCGACGACTTCATCCGAGAGAATAACGGAGAAACGGTCAAGCGGGCGACGCGACGTACGTAGAGGTACGCTCTCCTATATACGTGCATGCTGCACGTTCATGCATGTGCTTGCACGCGCGCGCGCGCAATTGTAGCGTGAGGAAGCGAGACAGACGGTGGCGGATCGACGGAGAGGAGTGAAAGAGTCGGGCGGAGGAGGAGGCGAGAAAAAAAGTGGGAAGTGTGTCGCGCGCTCGCGGCGCACCGTCGTCATCGAGGAAGGTGCCCGGAAGTCGCCTACTGCACGCGCGACTGCTGCGCGCCGACGAATAGACAAATAGACAAAGAGAAAAAAGTTACCGCGGGTGGGCGAGGTAGTTCCCGACATAGAAAGAGCGAGAGAAAGAGAGAGAGAGAGAGACACGAGACGAGATCAGAATACAGAGTACTACGAAGTGGAGGAAGGCACGGTTGCGTAAAGAAAGAAGAGGTGATCCATCAACAAGAACACAAGAGTTTCGCATCCCGCGAGACAGAGAACGTATTAAGGGAGAAAAGAAGAGAGAGAAGAGAAAAGAGTGGGAGAGGCAAGAGGATTGCGTCGCGGACGGTGGAATGTACGAAGCGATCGAGCGGTGCCGTGTAAACACGCGTCTCGAGTGAACCGGAGCGGCCCACCAGCGACGTTCGATTCGATGTCGTTGGCTTCCTTGTCGTCGTCACCGTCGCCGTTGTACGGCAGCCCCGACGGTTCGCGTCGTAGAACTTGTGCGGGAGGAGCAACCGGGAGCAACATCTGTGGCATCGATCATCGTCGCCGCCGGCACGGCAGACACGCGTAAATGAATCCACATCACAAATGACGGTGGGCGGACCGGGCAGACTAGCGAGGTGCTGGCTGGACTCGTCGTCGTCGTCGTCGTCGTCGTCGTCGTCGTCGTCGTCGTCGTCGTCGTCGTCGTCGTCGCCGTCGTCGTCGTCGCCGTCGTCGTCGTCGTCGTCGTCGTCGTCGCCGTCGTCGTCTTCGTCGGTTTAACGGACAAAAAGGTGAGCTTTTTTTCTTTTGATCTCTTGGTACACCTTATTTCTCTCGTCTACAAGTCTCTAGTGGACTCTTCTGTAAAAATGGCTTCAGGCGTTCTACCGTTTGCAATTGTTTTATTGTCCCTAAGCGGTTGTTGCACCGTACGATGTTGCTCCCGATAAGATAATTTTCACGCGATTATGTGTTGATAGCACATCACTCAACTGACCATTTCTAAACGCGTCGCAACGATGGCTGGAGTTCTGATCGCAACATGTTATTCCGACTACGTCGTAATTGATATTTCTTGGATGCTAATTTCCAGACAAACTTGTTTTTAAGTTCATTTCTATCACGTCTAAAGTTAGTACAAAGTGACAACAACGCCTTACATTTCATCAATTAATTTGATGTATCGTATAATTATTGGATGAGATTTTTTTGGGCAACTTAACATTACACGACACTTTATTTTTCCTTTAATTTGGCTTTGACTTTATTTGATTTTATTTGATTTGACGAACCTTACATATCGCTCGTTTGCTACAACTGACATAATTGTGATAAAAACTGCGATTTTGTTGCTTGCAGAAAAACGGAAACATAAAGAAAAAAAGGGAAAACATATTTTTAAAGAACATATTATTTCTGTATGTCCAAATTGCATTTCAAAAATAATATTACAAAATTTTAAAATCAAACCATTGAAATTCAAATCAAATTTCCATCATTACCATTTTTTTTTCTGAAAA